TCAAAGGAGTTTATAGATCCTTCTGTGGTCATATCAGTCCAACTAATATCAGGTGCGTTAAAGTCTCCTATTATCAAACATCTGGTATTTTCACTCCAAAGATGAATGTGCTCTAAAACAAAGTCATCAGCTAGGCAGATTGGGCTCCGATAGATGACACCTAGCATAAATGTACTACATCCTATAGCCAACTTACAGCTAATGACTTCACAAGTGCCGCTATCATGGGATTCGCTAATAGAGGAGCGGATATTTATGCTATTGGCTATGTATAACAGGACGCCGCCTCCTTTCCTACATCTATGTCTATCACTCCTGATGCAATGGTATCCGGATAATTCTGGAGTAATGTCTAAGTCATCGACTAACCAAGTTTCTGTCACTGCTACTATGAGTGGCTTTAACCTGTCCACTAGTGCTTCTAGTTCATAGAACTTATTTCGTAGACTACGAGCGTTGGCATATAAAACTCCTAAGTAGAACAGCCTATCCACACAGGCCTTGGTAGCATTCGCTTCCAAGACCTGACTATCCGAAAACCCACTAGCCGGAGATTTTCCTCGCCGTTTTGCCGACGGGTTTCAAGCTCAGCTAGTGCTTTCTTCCTTTTTATTCTATCTTCGAGAGATATGTCAGGTCTAACTCGGATGTCAGAATTGTCGTGACAACGAGCGCTACTTAACAAGAGATCCCGTTGCTTCTCCGATCCTAGGATTACCTTAAGGAGTCTGCATGGACGGGGTTCAACATTGTCCTCGGTCCTCTTGCCTATTCTTACCAACTTTTTAACCTGAACTCCTTTGGAGTTATCTGGTAAAATACTACGAATGTATTCTCCTAGCTTTTCTAAGTCATGCGCGTGTCTAATTTTCGGATCAGGGTCATTTGACTCCCGCAATTTGCTCACAATAATATTCGATGTTATTAGATTTTTCTTCTCAGTTACGCCAGGATGGGTTTCACTCTTACGATCAGATCTTGGTAGTGCAATTTGTGGCTCACAATTTGAGTCCACCAGTGAGTTACTAACTGCCTGTGTACTGCTTACAGCTTTTTTCTTTTCGTTTCGTTTCCTACGTACCGTAGTCCATTTTTCATCCCTCATAACACTGGGACTATTTGGAGTGGTGACTGTTTTATCCAGATCTAAGGTTCCTACTAAAGGTGCATTATTAACAATGTCAGTACTAGGTGGTACTACTCCCCCTGTTAATATCAACGAAGATTTCACTTTTACGTCGGTCACAGTCGGTTTTTTGAGGCGTCGCGTAACAACACTGACACATTCGTCACTGTCAGTGCCCGTGTTGTCGGTGCATATGCCATCATTCTTCTTACAGGCCAAAGCCAATAGGCTCATAGCCTCCTGTATTAGCAATGCCTTGTTGGCACAGCAAAACATGCAAAGCCAATGTGAGTTAGGCTTCGAACATCTTTTATATGCAGTAGGACTTAAACGGGTGCACATTTTGTGGAACCATTTATTGCATTCGTCACACTGCATTCCCTCCTCCACAGGGAACAAACAGTTTGGTTGTCCACATTTGTGGGTACTACCAACCATTTTAGTCTGATTTAGGTGTAATACACAATATGATCACAGTATGGACCACAAGACAAACTCTAGCAAGATGTCAAACCTTAACTAAAGTACTTTGATACAGACCAAGAATGCTTTCGAATGTGATAAATACACAAAAGCCAAAAAAACTCAGTAAAATATCACCTTAACTGGAGTAGATTCAATTAAAGTGTAAATCGTAGTTTTGATACGTAATTTACGATCAAAACAGTTTAAAAATTTAACGAGAAACAATACCACTGTCCTTTTTAGATAACGCTATAAAAGGTTCTGCCCGTATAAAGAACATTGCTACAGTAAGTGTCATCGGGAGGGTCATATAGAAACCAGCTTCAGAAAAAAAACATAAACGATATTCTGCAAAACCCTACTTCGAGAAATACAGGTCTGGCGTATTAACAAAAGGAATATTGGTATCACATAATCAAGCACGAAATTGCCGCCAAAGAAAGTACGTAGCCTTAGATATTGATAAACACCGTACTCGCCTTCAGCTTGATACAGCTTCCGATATCACCTTAATCAGCCCAGAAACTTGGAAGAACATTGGGAGACCCACAGTTTTCCCAACAATACAACTGGCACACAGTGCCATGCACTGTTTCTAAAGGTACTGTAACAACGAATGCAACCGCATATCTTACAAAGAAGCCAGCACTCGACTTAATGGGGTTAGGTCTTATAGAAACACTTAAACTAGCAGACCATTCTATTAACAGCATCTGCAGACGAATCAGAACTGACAACACCTTAGAGTGTAGCCTTAGAAACGCCGTGCTACCAACACACCAAAACGTGTTTAAAGAAGGATTGTGGGATTGTACGAAGGCCAAAGCATTGTTAACCCTAAAACTTGCAGCTACTCCCGTCTTTCGACCCAAAAGACCTGTACCGTATACTGCTCTTCCAATAGTTGAACAAGAATTACAACGACTTCAGGAAATGGGTGTTGGTCACGAAGTCGAATGGAAGCGTCCGTCTATGTGCAGACTACTCAACGGGATTAAAAGAAGCTATACAGTCTCACCAGTATCCGTTACCCCTACCGGAAGATCTTTCCGTTAAGCTGAACGGTGTCAAATTTTTTGCGAAATCGGATTTATCAGACGCGTATCTACAAATTCCGGTATCTCATGAAAGCAAAGATCTCCTAACTCTTGTAGCAAATATAAAAGCTGAGAAAGAAGTTCATCGCGTGTTGGGTGATGAAATCAGTGAACTCCCAGTAACCTTTGAAACTGTCAAGAAGATCACTGAAAGTGATAAGACATTGAGCACAGTTAAATGCTATCTCTCGACCGAATGGCCGGACAATCGCCTTGACAGGGAAATTTTGCAATATTTTCGTCGACGGGACTCACTAATGGTTGTCGACTCGTGTATTATAATCGGTGATCGAATTGTTATTCCGAAGTCATTACGTCACAAGGTTCTCAAGTAGTTTCACAGTGGCCACCCTGGAATCAATAAAATGAAACCGTTGGCTCGTAGTTATGCTTACTTGCCGTCAATGGACAAAGATATCGAGAATAAATGCCATAACTGTCCATCATGCATTCAAGCCGCTAAAAATCCTTTGAAATGCGAACCTCAGTATTGGCCGACGCCTTGTAGCCGTAAATAAATCCCCAAAATAAGTAGCTCTGTAAGTTTTCAACATTGGATGCTGACCGGATTAGTTTTAGTGGACTCACCTAGCTGAGGGCGCTCGGTCAGGCATCCGCACCTGATCGCATGTGGTAACGCCATGCTCAACATCTACCTCAATCGCTAGCCAGATTAGATCAAAGAATTCCGATATATTGGTTATCGCCAAATACACTCTTCGATCTCCTCGATTCTGTCTTTTGATTTCTGTTGGTGGGTACGAGTTATATTAGAAGGTGTTACTGGTAGAAGCGTTGTCAAACACTGAATGCCTGTGCCATCTTCAGCCTGTAGGACTCTGGGTAAGACTTCACGCAGATTTTGCTGGTCCAATCCAAGGAAAAATGTTTCTAATTATCGTAGATGCATTTACTAAATGGCCGGAAGTATATACCATGCTAAATTGTGCAACATCAGAAACAATCCACGAGTTGTCTATCCTGTTTAGCTGCTTCGGTGTTCCAGAGACCTTAGTAACGGATAACGGCTCGCATTCGCTGCAGAATCGTTTAAGCGTTTCTGTAGAGCAAACGGAATAACTCATTTTCGTTCTCCACCCTATCATCGGCAATCAAACGGACAAGCAGAACGCTTTGCGGACACCTTTAAACGAGCATTACTGAAAGGGAGGAGGCGAAGGGAAGACTGGACAGATAATCACAAAATTTTTAACATCCCACAGATCCACCCCGAACCCGAATGTTCCAGATGGCAAGTCTCTTGCTGAAGCCATGTTCTGAAGGCGTATTCGAACTGTCTTCAACGCCATGTTGCCATCTAAATTAGTGAATGAGCACAATCACAATCCAAATATCCGGAACTTCAATGTTGGCGACAAAGTTTTCATTAAATCCTACATCGGGAAGAACCGATGGGAGCCAGGAATGGTCGTACAAAAATTGGCAAAAGTACTGTACAGAGTCCGAGGAACTTTTAGAACGTGTATTCGACACACAAATCAAATCCATAAGGACAAAAGAACGATGCTTTCTCGAAATAACCGGCGGAATTTTCCGTTAGAGTTAATCTTAGATACACCAATGCTACACATACCCAAGCACACCTAAAAGAAGCCTTGGACAAGGCAGACGACAAGAATAATGACACGCCGCCGCAACCCAGTTGTCAAGCTACAAGTAGATCCTAGGAAAAATCTTACTCGGGGGAGTTGTTTGGTCGGCTTTCCGAGAACTTCAACGGAGCCTCCAGAGGCCCAAAAGGAGCCGAAGAGTCCTAGCCAATCAGAGCATGATGGTGCATCCTAGAATTCCAACGTGACGTGTTACTATTAATCAGTAGCATAATATGTCGTTAACGGATTGGCCGAAATATGGTGTTGATTTAACAAATGTTAACATCTATAAATACCCGTGTTTTTCTGTACAAAAGTGAACCTTGGAGTAAAGCATTTCTCTCATACTTTGTGTCTTCTATCTGGTGTTCAGGTCGCTGTGTAGTTTTAGCTTGCGGGTTACCAGAATAGCTTAGGAAACGAATATAGCGTTCAGTCAACAAGACTTATCAACATTAATCACGTTATAATTCTCTATTATATCACAAATCAATAATGATTAGAGCGTGCTTTCAGTTACAGAAAGTCAAATTCAATTAAAATGAACTCTGATTTATAATTGTGAGTGGTCACAATTACATATACAATGGTATAAGAATCCTATTTATGTCAGTTAATTCTTTTTCTCAATTCAGAATACTGAAAATTTATAAGATCATTTCATTATACTGATACTGACTTAGAAAATAATACACTTACTTTGATTCGTCTGTTCCTATTTTTTGCTCCCCTGCTCTATATAGATCTTCCGCATCTCTCCGTACAAGATTCGTATCTACAAATGTAGATTCATCTCTATTTGCTTGCAGCAAAGCAATACATATACGTTTAAAATGATGTGTAGTTTCATTGTCAACATCCTTCTCTAAGTTACGTCCATTTAGTACTAAAATTATATAAAAAAATTTAGCTAGTAGTTTTAAGCGAAGAAACAATTTATAGTTTACACGACTGACTGACCTAAATAAAATAGTAATTGAAATCTAAGAATCACTGGGACGTCTCTAAAGTGCAAAGCCACGTCTCCGACAGGACGACAGAATAATTAACAATAAATCCGTTAAACGGATTATACATATCTCAAGTTCATCAAGGAGTGGTACCAATATGAGAAGCCTTTTGAAGGATTAACGATAAATCAGATAAATAGATCATATACATACCGAACTCATTGTAAAGCAGTGACTTGATGGTTGAGATATTAACTTTCACTTCGCTTTGATATTCGTAGACGAGTAGTATCATTAATTCTTACAAGGGAATTTAAGCAGCTCATGTTTGCTTTGTGGATAAACGTGGAAAATAGACAAATTGGTAAGACAGAATTAAATGAACAAAGTTTAGTCGGTGTGAAACCAATCAGAATGATATTCCAAATGAGTATTCATATAATAAGTTATTGATTAATTGTGATAATCAAAAGTATTTGAATTAATGTGGTAACTACGATTTCCCGAAATATTGCAATTTAAGTCAGATCGAACTAGATGGGCACAAATGAACATATTATATTTGTAATTCGTAATAAGCGCGCAATCAACTACAAAGGAATCATTAGTTCGTATAAATGCCATATTAATCAGTGTTAAATACTGCACAGTTCAATTTACACAAGGCTAACTGTAAGCAAATCATATAAAAGTGGTGTATTCACTTATCATTTATGAATCAAATAAATCATTATCAACAGTCTTTGGTTATCACTACGCATCGTCGGATTCAGGGTCAAGCACAATTCAGTCAAGTATTTCGCAGTCATAAAAATGTCAAACATAACACAAATAAAGATTGACAAAAATCCACTGCGTAAATGACAAAAATTCAAGAATTACAATGGTTTCACTAATCTACGAAGTTCAAATAAATAAATGTATGCTAATTAAAGTTTATATGCATAGGTAGGTGTACCTAATATCCAGTGAAATGCTTTGAATTATCAATATCGAATGAGAATGAATAAGCCATCCCACCTCGAACAGTCATACATCATGAAAATATATTTATTATTTATATCCGAAAAGTTTTATGGTTGTGATTAGTATAAGTCAGTAGAAAAGCTAGGTATAACAAGGTCAGAGAATGTTCACACAGAACAATTGTCCAATATTTCTGTTATTCACCCAGAAATGTCATATTAGGACAAATTTGCTGTAACTTCTAAATAAGCTACGATTTAAGAAGTAGCAAGATTTATTCACCTCATCAATTGATATTACTCCCAATCTATGTACACACTCAATAAATCTGTCCTTTTATTAGTACACATCAATTTGAACGTAGTAGTTAGTATTCATTCTATTGTATATTGATCGTGAATGCGCACTGCTAAGGAGTCCTATGCTAAGATGAAACAGCCGTTCAGGTATTCCAGGTTTTCCATGGTTGTCTAGCTTCAACTGACTCTAAAAATCTCCACAAAACCCCTCTCTGAGTATATTGATTTGCTATAAATTATTTGAATGTCTGAAAGAAATTATAGCTTTTTTTTAAAAAAAATATTTTGAATGAAAGGTAGGTAACATTCAAGCACCTTTATCTAGAAGATGGACTAGTGTTAGCGCATTACCATTAAACATCCATTACTCTTTATTTAGTAGATATAAAATAAGTGACCTCCATACTATTTCAACATTAAATTTATTCAATATTATGAGTTTATCTAAGTTGTTAGTTAATATGATTGGTTTTTATGAAATTGAACACTAAATAGATGATTTGACAAAAATGTAATTGCCGATCGATAATACAAAGTACAAAGTTATGTATATGTAACACTGATTGGAGATTAAGGTTTAATAACCATGACACAATGACGTCACATGAATAGCTCTATTCTACGTACTATATATAATATTGTATTGTCATTATTAGTTATTCCCAAAACTTTATATAGTGTGTTAGATTGGTCGTACCGACGCTTGAGAAGTATGTCAATAAGCTTACAAAAGATGAAGAGATGCGCACAGTGTGAAACTGGTTTTCCCCACAAACTAATATCGGAAGGAGAATCAAGGAACATTGAATAGTTGTTTTGTTCCAATTTAAGACTTCTCAATTCGTATCTGAAGGGGATTTTGTAGATATTATAGTAATTTTAATAGTTGAGAACATGAGTCAGTTGAAGCTAGACCATCATGGAAAACCTGGAATCACTAGACGCCCGTTTTGTCCTATTGTGGGAATCCTCAGCAGGCGCATACACAATCCCGCCTCCACCCCACAAGATTCGAACCCGGGACCTATCAGTCTTGCGCACGAACGCTTAATCACTAGACCAATGTGCTGGCCGGCATCCAACGGTGTTAATGTCTAACGCAACCGGTTAGCGCATTCAGCTGTTAACCGAAAGGTTGGTAGTTCGAGCCCACCCAGGGGTGGTAGCCATTTTTCAATTACTCTAAACCATATTTATAACAGGAGTAAAAACTAATGGTTCGTACTAGACAATTCCTTTAGGCAAAACTTGTTTTTCCAATGCTATAAGGTTGGATGTAAACATTAATAAGGAAAGTGAATATAACCGGACTATAGGGTTTATAAGAGTATGTATTTTCCTATTGTTGATATTCAGTGCTACACTTCATCACTCTCTATGGACATAAGTGATATTGAGCTTTATTTACAAATTTTAGTTAAGATAAATTGTTAGCTAAGACAGGGATCCTAGGAAGCGCATTGAAAATACAAGGAATGTAAATAATGATGAGTTGTAAAGTGGAAAAATCTAGGTGACTCCTTGTATTTCCATGATTCTTTAGCTGATCCAAGTTCATATTCTCTAATTATTTTCATAAATAGGATCAAATACACCGAAAATAGCAAATAATTTTTGAATCATTAAAAATTAATCACAGTAAACCTTTCTTTCATCTACTGGCCATATTCAGTTGTTCATGACAATCTTAATTTTGAGGACAAATAAAAAATGTAATTGATAATTTTACAAACTAATAACTTACATTTTGGATAAATATCCTTAATTCTTCTGATTTGCTCATTTGTCCTTGAACAAAGAATTTCAATCAGTGCATCTTCATCAGTACCAGCTCCTCTCATTGCTCTACGAAGTTCAATAGCATCAAATTCCGCTGGTGAGTAACACAACGCGATCACACAGTCTTCTAAGTGACCATGTAATTCAGATTTAAATTTGGCAAATAAATCTTTTCCATACATTGATTTATATTTCTGTACGATTGCTACACGTTGATCAACAGATCGATGACCCATTACTTCGATGACCTCTTTTTCATTTGCTCCTAATCCGGCCATAGCCTTTTTTAAACGTTCACAGTCTCGTTCAACACAAAAATTAGGTGCTGCTTTTAAAGTTGGCTCCATCTAAAATTGATTGATTCGATATCAATAAATAGGTAAGCTGTAGAATTATTTACAGCGTTGTTGATGTTTATTGAATATTTATTGCTTACTTAAATTAATGACTGACAAATTAAAACGAAATAACACCAGAATAATGTGAATTCACCGAAAATAATAGTATACCAGTGAATAGATTTTATGAGGGAAAGAGCCTATAACGGTAACAGGAATTTATAATTCACCAGTAGGGTTCGATAGATCCCTATATTCATCAATCGTTCCAGAGATTAAAAATCGTTTACTTTTGCTTTAGTTCCTCACATTCATTCAAATGATTGTACAGTATATACTCAATTTGAATTCACTGGTCAAGTGGAACTGAATAAAATAATCATCTCAAAAACTCCTGTTAACATCATAACCTTCTGCAGACCTTCTCTCACATCTAAGATGAACAAATGGCAATGATTTTAAAATACATAAAAAGTGACGAGATGGATAGATATAATGCAGAAATGTGTCTTTTAATGTTACTTCCATGTTAACAACTACACAACTACATAATAGTTGAGGTGAACTTTTGACAATCATATAATACAAACAATCTTCTTCACATTCACAATAAATAACCCAACAATATAAATTAGTGATAATTTCGATAGCCTACAACATCCAATCTAGGTAATTCAGGTGATCTCAGTCGACTGATCATAATTAGAATTGGTGTTTGTACTAACCGATGATTCATTTGTACTTGATTGTGCGCTCACTGCGAATCACTAATGTAATACATTCAGTTATGCTCATCTGGTTCCACCTGTCTTAAATTGCACTATTTCGCGAATTCCTAGTTAGCAAATCAATTCGAATGCTTCTAATTATCTATCACATTAGAACAGCTGTGATTAATATCGCATTATGTGATAAAAATAAATTCGAAACTACTCTGTAAACACATGTGACGACTATCTGACAACTCAGCATTACTCAACAGCAGCCTGGTATGTTTGCAACGACATGCCTATATTAAAGAATTTATACAAAGTTAATAAATAGACTGAATCGACTACCAACATTTGTCTGAGTTATGATAATTTACTGCTTTGATTGAAAAAAAAACACGCCGAATTCTTCAAACTGCATCAAGTAAGAAATGAAAAATCGACTGGAAATATGTTCAGGTATTATGGGAGCTTTGTGTTGTACATTACGTCTGTTCTTAAGAATATCTCCCACAATGATGTTCGTATTTTCAGATTATCTAGGCCGACCAAACGCTCACTCGACCAATCCACTCACTTAAATAAAATCTCAACAAATTAAAAGATACGGGAAAGAAGGCCATGAAATTCATGAATTCCACCAACGTTCACAAATCAATAGGCCATGAAGTCATGAAGAGGAAAGTAGTGGAAATATTTGTAACCTATACACCACACAAGTAAAATAAATTCGGTTTGTGACTCAAAATTTATGTGCACAGTTAATTCATTGAACAGTCAAATAAAATGACTTGAGAGCTGTTCGAACGAAACTAATTATTCAACTAATAACAATAACAATATTAATAATGGCAACATACTATATCTTCGTGTGGAGCTGATTCAGCGAACCCATAAACTCTGGAAGAGACAGAAAACTCATTCGACTGAGATGAAATCGGAGTAGGGAAATCGTTAAACATCGGGTATACAGATCCTTGATTCGTGTTCACTGGGTTGCTACCAAATGAACTTCCACCTGATGGTGGTATAGTTGGACAATAATTTGTTTGGAGATTTTGTGAATTGGGATTTCCAGAAATATAAGGACTTTGCATTTGACGTGCATAATCGATATTGAATGAGGTTGTACCTGGTAGATATGATGTAGCAGATGGATTATTGCCATAAGAAGGATTTGTATAACCTTGTTGGCTTGAAAATGGAGCATTGGGTTGTTCAAACGCTGATCGGGATAACCACTAGGAGCACCGAAAGGTATATTATTGAAATTTGCTCCTGACTGTCCATCGAACCCACCCATTATAGGTGCTGGATATGCAGTTGTGTTTAAATTTGCGAAACCTCCTGACGGTAGGTCAGAATATCCTCCAGATGACATTCCTGGATATGTACTTGTATTTGAACTCGATAAATCCCCAGACGAATCAGGATATCCTGGATATCCTCCTGGAGTTATTCCCGGATAACCTACAGAAGACATATCAGGATAACCTGGATTAGGTTGCTGGGGATTACGTATGTTCCATGCTGAAAGATCTGAAAGATTCGGATCCATCTATCAAAGTGATTCGATTAAAATGAGAGCTCTTAAGACTTAACTAATAATAAATTGATTTGTTTTACAAGGTCATTCGTATGATCAGTTATTGGTTAAAATAAATACAAAAGATAGTATTTAGGACTGGTTAAATAAACCAATGGAAAAAGACAAACAACCTTAACAATTTAAGATTTTCGTAGATAAAATTAAACTAGTATTCTGTATTGTATTCATAGAAATATCCTATGATGTTTGATTTCTTGTTTTAACAAAGTGGATGGAATTCTAGTTCCATATTTTCAGTTTTGTTTAGAGGCATTCAAAAAGAAAACGTCACACCATAGGAACTTCTAAACCGACTTAAAAAAATATAACTACATTATTTACGCCATGAAGGTGGCCATACTGGTTCTAATCAGTGGTTAAATAATAGATGACATTTACTTAGTTAATCGTTCCTTAGTGTATACAGTACCAGAGAAGCGGCTATCAGTATTATCACAACAAGATCTAGGACTCACATCACTTCAAACTGACATACATCAGCCTCGCAAAGGTTTTATTGTGGCTCAACCATTTGCAGTTAGATTCTTATCAGACTAAACCTTATTGTTTTTTTATATCCATGCATATTTACAATCTTATGCAATATCCCTCATAAACTTGGAATGTTTATTCAGTACTATTGTCAAGCACTTCTACTGAGTAGTTCAGATGAACAATAAAAATCACAGTACACATTCCAAGTATAATCTTAACTTAGAGATATACTGTAGTAATGATATTTATTTGTAAACTATTCAATAAATTATTGATTGATCATTTTACCTAATATCTTTTACAAGAATAGTTTTACTCATAAAACTTCAAATTAAAACAGAATTAGAATAATGGCTCGTTGAGATTGTAGTAAATTTAATAGTTGAATTCATTAGTCGATATAAGCTAGACCATCAACGAAAACCTGGAAACACAGGATGGCCGTTTCTTCTTAGTATTGAGAGAGTTACTTACTTCAAACAACAGATGAAGGGCTTCGCAAGATCATGGATCTACTGAAGTTAACATTAACACTGTTGCATGCCGGCTCAGTGGTCTAGAGGTTAAGCAGTCGCAAGAAAGACCAAAGGTCCCGGATTCGAGTCCTGTGGGCAGGATTATTGATGCGTGTTGATGAGGAGTCCCGTATTATGAAGAAACGGCCGTCCAATGTTTCCAGGTTTTCGTTGATGGTCTAGCTTACGTTGACTTATAAATCCAATTATTAAAACAGAATTCACTAGGAATTAATCAATATAAATGGTAATGTGATCTGAATACCATTATTGTATTGGTTTTTTTAGTAACTAAGGTAACAAATATCAGGTAGAAAATAAGTTTTTATCATTCATATCATGTGATGAGTGTGTACTTTTTAAATTGATTATCTTCATCTATCTTGAACTTTTATTAATGCTTAAATTTAAAAGAAAGTAGTAATTGTTTTGTGATAAGTTCAATAATTATGGTTGTATCATTCCAAAAAAGAAATTTCTAGAGTTAAAATTAAATTTTGTTACAAGTTGAGTTTCTCTGAAGAAACAAAGGAAACTAAAAAATGTACTGTTCCGGTGTTTCGTTCTAGTTTAAGATCTTTTTAATTGTAACGATTCACAATGCTATACGGAGTTGAGCTGAAGATTTTCTGGTCTTTTAATAGAGATGTTACTTTTAGATCAGTAAGTTGAGATTTCATTGTCTATATTTCCAACTTTAGATAATTCTAGTAATAATGTAGTGAACGAGAACACAGGCGGGGACAACCAAATGTACTTTAATACAATATTACAGAATTTCTTGGTAAAATCTGAGAACCATAGAGTGAATACTTCGAGATGGTGGAGAAGATTTGTAGCTCAGGTGGATGGACACTTCACTTCTACCTGAAGTTTGTGCTGATGACGTAGTTCAGAATAACGATGAGAAAGTTCCACGACCAGACCATCCAGCTCAGAGGACAAAACTCCATCAAATATCCATCAGACTTTGTTGTTCCTTCGTTTCCATACCACTCACTCTCTGTTCTCGTTCTCTTCTCTTCGATTTTCTCAACTTTCTGCAGCCAGACATTTAACTTTTTACTGATGATACATACCACTTTTATCTGTCGACATCAGTATCATACACTACAATAGCATCAATATTCAATATCCTCTGTGAGTTATTGTTTTAATCAATGAAGTAATCTATTTTATCCATAAACTATCCAGCAAGTTAGTAAATACACACTTACTAGTAATCAGATTTAAAATGAGTCCGTATATTTAAAACATGTTGTGTCTGACTGTGTGTTCAGTTTGTTGATAAGAGGACAGGTACCATCAATATTACCCACTGGATAGTGATAGAAATACATCGGGAGCTACAAATAATGTTTGGTACTTAAACACTTAACTATTAACTATACGGTATTTGGTAACGAATATGATTACAAATCATTTTTGAGAATAAAACCGGTAGATGTACAATATAGAGACGAGCCAGTGAATAACGAGGACTGAACTTTGAGGTCTTTGCGTGGAATTCCTATACCGTTTGTAATGAGTACTAGAAATACCTCTTTACATTTTTCAAAACATTTCAAACGATTGGGAAGAATTACTTTTTGGCACCATAAAGTAAAAATGTTGTTAATATTGAACGCATCGGATGTTCAATTTATTGGTGGCCTACTTGGATATCTGGACTACTTGTTCCTACCATCTAGATATTTCAACAAATTATCTGTTTTTGTTTGTTTTAACACATTATTATGTCTATTAATCGCATAACCTATTCAGGCTCATTCATGAAATTTACGACCTTTAGCTGTACAATCAGAGACATCGTGGTGACTCACAATATGCATTGAAAAGAATGATTATCATTCAGATGTTGATTCATGAACTGCTAACATCTAACTGACGATCACTGATTAACAAGGCGGACTATCTTCCATTCCTATTAAGTCTAAACATATATCGCGATTGTGATGTAATCACAATTTAAGAATACTAGTTACCGATTCACTAGACAATTGTTCAGTATGACTACAAGATTTCAATATTTGTCGTGAGGATCGATCAAGAAATAAGAAAAGGAAACCTGTTGAAATAATTTGTATTGAGAATTCTATATTTGTACCAAAAATATAATAGTAAACAAAGTCATTCATAATAACAATAATAATAATAATTCTGTCATTGTTTATTACATATAACATTCAATTTTCCAGTAACACTTACTTCTTCCTATAAACCCCAATAGTCCTGAAACGAGCATTAACCTAGTAGCAGTATATTTTATTAGACGAACTAATCAGATAGAGCTTCTCGCATTTTTACTCTAAATTCATTCATCCATTCATATGGTTACAAAGTATTTTTTGCATCATAGCTGATGTCAGTTTGTGATAAAACACTGACAGTGAACTTCTAATTCATACCTTTAAAACATTACCCTAATCAAGAACAACATGAGGATTTTTGAAACTCCGTTTGGGTCGTTATAAGGATTTGAGGAGATCGATAATCCATATCTATAAAGACGAATTTATGTCATTAGTTTATCTTTTCACAGGCAGATTAACCTGTGAAATACTTTAATAGGTTCATTAAATGTGTAAAATCTGTTTACGTTTGTAATCCAACTGTTATGTTTCTTATAAACTACCTAGTTACAAAGACTATTTTATTATTAGTAAATATTTAACTGACAATTTATCTCGGTTCTTTTAATCTTACCCCTGTACTTATAATACATCTTCATTAGTTTATGTGAATTTTCTAAGTGTTTACTGTTAGGCCCTGACAAACACAATGAATGGTAACTTTGGGATCATTTTATGGACTAATAGTAAACGTATATTTTTATCATATAATTGTTAAATAACTAAACTATTCATATTCATTTTCCTCCTCTCATTGCTTACTTGATATACCCTCTGTCTGTTACTTAGTTTACTGTATATATTTGTAAATAGTTCTTACATAACTACTGCAGGAACTGTTTTCTTCTTCATCATATTTTGACACCTATAGACCATAGAGACACCTAAAGAATTAACGTTTGTAAAATGCATCACTACTAATAGTAGTGCTGTTATATAGACAAATATTTGTTTAGATTTCGGATTTTGTGCTTGATTAAACAGTTTGATATGAATCTTCAGGTAAATTTAATAAATATCAGTGATAACGATTGTGTGTCCGTAGGTAAGAATTCTACATCTGGAACCTTTTACCTATTTCTAATAACTATCCGACATAAAAAATATCTACTAGAGGGGATATGAATTATTCAACCATTAGTAATTTGGACAGAATTTTGATCAGATTTCACTGGAAGTTGTACATCCTGTACAGATTGTCTCAATACAGGCATTTTTTATAACTTTCTATAGAATAGGTGGATTCGTGGTTTGCAGTGGAATCCTAGAGGAGTGTTTCATCTTATTTGAGACTCATCAGCTGGATATACCTGTATCTCAGTGTTCATATTCATACTGAAACTTGAATCCAATACTTTTCACTTCAAAATCCCAACGCATAATTCACTGAGCTACTGAGTCCAGATAGCCAGCCACACACTTGTACAAGTACGATGTCCTTATACTTGTTAAAGTAGACTCGAAATTTTCCTTATTGGATAATCCTAAATACATTTTGATCAGTCTTTGAAGTGAAAAGATAGTAGGTTCGAGTCTCGGTGTAAATATTTGACACAAGTACAGATATATCCAGCTGACGAGTCTAGAATAGGAGAAGACGCTCGTTCTATATTTCACTGTTAATCACAAATCCATCTATTATATGAAAAATATTATTTCGGATCAGGTAATTCAAAAAACTAAATTCCAAAAATTAAGCAATAGTAATTAGACCTAGTTAAGAATTATGCGATATGATAGTCACCACTAATATAGTAATGGTTTGGTTTATATGATCTAACATAACACTATAATCAGATCAATTTTTCGATTCACCAAAGTAGAATTCAGTATTATTTTTAATATTAATCTAATCAATATTGAAAATACATCATGAGTCACAATTGGTTGATCACTGAGTGGTGATCGATGTCATGTGTGTCAGGTCTTTCATAATGCAGATCGAATGTTATCGATCAAGTTGCAATGTGGCCACTAGTCTAGTGACTGGATATTGCGTGCACTCTGTTCTTAACATGATAATTATTATGGTCTATTCTCCCGCATCCACAACACAAAGGTTCAATATAGCCTTTCTTTGAGATACTGACAAACCTAACGAATTGAAGATAGTTGTCAACAGCACATTCCAAGTCTTTAAGATCTATTGAAAGAAGAGGAAATTACTATGGAGACCAACTGTGAACTGGTCAAACAAGCACTGACTTCAGTATTCCAGGGGTTGTGGGCTTCAAATAGTATGATCATAAGGAATGGATCTCTATGGAGACCGTGGGGAGGATTTAATTAAAGAAAGACGAGAAGGCAGCAATTAACAACAGCCTAACAAGAATAGAGAAAGTCAAGGCACAGGCCGAATACACAGAAACGAAGGAGAGAGCGTACAGGAGTATTATTGCCGGCAAGCAGAAATACGTGGAAGAGGTAGGAACGACAGCGAAAAAGGCTACGAGAGAAGGAAATAACAAACAACTACATGACACAACGAAGAAACTGGTAGGGAAATGTAGTAAATCAGAGAGATCTGTCAAGGATCAAGAAGGTAAGCCAATCACTGAGATTTAAGAATGGAAGAAAAGATGGGTAGAACATTTTGAGGAACTCTTGACTAGATCAGCCTAATCGCAGTGGCATCCGCAGACCTTCCAATGGCTGTCACTCCACCAACGATCGAAGGCCTCAACATACACAAGGGAAAAAGCAACATCCTGAAATACAACACGGAAAACACCCACTCGACCACACTTTATTGAGAAACACTGGAAGAGGTGGAAATTTTCATTTATCTGGGTAACATCATCGATGAAAGTGGAGGATTTGATGCAGACGCGAAGGCAAGGATTGGCAAAACAAGAACAACATTCCTACAGTTGAAGAACATATGAAACTCAAAACAACTGTCAATCAATATCAAAGTCACAATCTTCAATACGAATGTCAGGACAGTGAGTTCTTCTGTACTTACTTTTTTACACCTGCTACCCATCGTGAAGAAGCATAGACTGCTCACCAGCATTCTCCATCCAACACTGTCCTGGGCAATCCTTTCCAGCTCTTTCCAGTTGTTATTCATCCTTTGCATATCTGCTTCTCTTTCCCGATGTAATGTGTTCTTTGGTCTTCATCTTTTCCGCTTCCCTTCAGGATTCCAAGTTAGCGCTTGCCTCGTGATGCAGTTTAGTGAGTTGCGTAATCTATGTCTTATCCACTTCCAACGTTGTTTCCTAATTTCCTCTTCAGTCCGAATCTGGTTTGTTCTCCTCCATAGTAAGCTGTTGCTGATGGTATGCGGTCACCGGCCATTCAGTATCTTGCGTAGACAAATATTTATAATTACTTGAATCTTCTTGATGGTGGTTGTAGTAGTTCTTGAAGTTTCAGCTCCGTACAGTAGAACTACCATAACGTTCGTATTGAAGATTGTGACTGTAGCGTGGCGTCGGTCGAGATTGACTATGAACACCACCAGAAAGGAACACGTGCCAGGATGTCCATAAAATCCCTCGGAAGCGAAATATCAGAAGGCAGTTGATGGCCAATTCGAGATATATTTGCTGGCGATCTCGTGGTATCGAAAGAATACCGAGATCGTGCCAGGATACAAACTTGGTTACAAAGCGTAGACGAATTTGCGCGAGGTCACAATCAAAGAGTAATAATAATGGATGTTTTTAGCACAGTTAACCAAAGAGCACATTAAACAGTCATTGGTACAATTGGTTGTAATAATAATTGATTTCATTAAACCAATCGTGTTCTCGTGATAAAAACAAGTCACTACATGACTTTAATATTGAAAGAAAATTGTTTTGAGTTCCATATGTTCTTCAATTGTAGGAATGCGACCCTTGCTTTGCCAATCCTCGACTTTACGTCTGCATCTAATTACGAGATTTAAGTAGATAGTGATTAATACCCACTGTAAACTGATATCAACCATCAGATCAGTGTAGACTGACAGATGTTTCAGTTTAATTATCAGTGAATGGACTCAGATTGGTAGAAGAAATAGGATAATGCACTTTCAAGTATTTAGCAATCAAACTGATCTGGAATACAGTTATCAATTACTTTATTGAAGTATACATAATTTTTCAATCAGCACAAAATATTATTGGGAGGATGAGGATTAATGTTAAGTAAACTGAAGTTGAGTGAAATACATTCGTTCAACGAGGTGGTCTTCACCAGATTAATCAATGTCTATTACTAGGTCGAAAACAGAATGCATTCTAAAACATGCATATTTCATTCTAACTGGTCAATACATAACATGAAGAAGTCACGGTTTGATTTGCTGCATGATTTGTTTAAAAGTCTTGAAGTGACACTGAATGTATCTCTCCTTTGTTGTTCTACGATTTGAATTGTTGGAGGACTCATGATAAACAACCTAATGATCATTCAGTCGAATAAACTAATATCTTTCAACTTGCTTCACAACACTCACTCCTCTCAATGAAAACTTGAACAAATTAATCTTATAACAAAATAATTGTATTCATTTAATCAGAATAGTTAAGCGAACGTATCTTATTACTAAATTTTGTTAGGAGATTAATCAAATGGAGTATAGGGTAAAGACAAAGTGAGAGAGAGAGGTAAGAGAGGGAGAGAGGAGATAGGGGGATAAATTATATGTGAATAATAATATTTTCATTTGTTAATACAATACTTGTTAAACGATGAAAATACTTTTGTTCATTGTGAATCGAAACATGTCAAGAAATATATTTTGTGAAGCCGGAAATCGTTGACGTCTGCAGAATAACTTCGTAATTGTTTGATGACTTTAATCACTGTAAATATATGATTAATAATGTAATTGGTAAGTAGATTATCTCACGATAAGATTCGATAACAGACGTTGGCAATCATTTGTGACTCCATCCAATAAAGTTTGATCAATAGTTGATTTTACGTGAAGTGGTGGGTCGTTTATATAAGAACAATCGAACTAAAATAAAATATATTTGAGAAATAAAATTTGTAAAATTATTTCCTTTTATCACGTTTGATCACTTGATAAATAATTTCAATGCACAAGTAATGCATGGTAGAATTTGCTACAGATTATGCCATCAATTATTATCAATGTAGAATATGACATACATTCACATAAGTCGAACTAGTATGCTATAATTGAACACTAGGATTTACCAAAATGAAAGATACTCTAGTCGAAACAATAGTGGGAGATTAAATATGAAGGTTCTTGTTCAATTGATTCATTTCCGAAGTGATCTGATGTGATCATCAAATCAGACAAACACGCACACATCTATACATGGATGCAGGATGGTCTAGTCTTCTTAGAACTGTATTTCGAAACATGTCGAAACTCTTCAATTTGTTGTTATAATCAGGTTTCAGCAACATGTAATACAACCATGAAATTTCTGTGTCAATTGTCAGCTGACAAACACCTTGGATTATTCAGTTACAACGTAACAATATCATGAACCTTTTGTTCATGATGTGTTTGCACACCGTTTACGGAATTTATGAGGTTCGATTAGTTTCTACTGATTCGGGTGAAAATCTATGTATTAATGTAGTTTGTAATATGACGTGGAAAAATGTGAAAGCATTCTGTTCCGACAATCGATGTGGATAAAATAACTTCATTTGAATGATTCAACAAGCGATTAGTCTACAATACATCACATGAAACAAGGACAAAGTAGTGTGTAGGATCAGAAAGTGTTAATTTAAGTATCAGTCTCAGTATAATGTGTCCACAATTGTTTGAAATAACATCTTACTTCTCAATGAGAATCAATTCTAACCGTCATACAATACGTAGGTCACCTAACTGGGAAAAGAAATAATCTTATGATAGTTTAAACTATGAATTGACAAATAGTTTTCACATAGAAATAGTTTCAGATAGTTCTGATGTTCAACAATCGACTCTTAACACAACTTGTTTTAAGTAAAACTCGACTAAGTGAGAATTGTCATTGTTTTCGGAAGCATTTTGAAGTGTATTGAATCAATAGACTGTGAGACTGCAAATGTGATGTATGCACTTCAAGTCATGAACGTAGAAGTTTTTCGAGAAGTATTTTATTGAAGCAATAATACTCAGTAATATTCAGCATTATTGTTCACACCGATTACGTTGGGGATATAGATAAACACGAAGAGATAATGGTATTTACTAAGCTAATCCGTCTATATTAGCAATTGTATCCATGTTTAAGTTTCAGTAAATGGATCATAATAATTGCAAATTATTACTTCTTAAATATTGTTTATACGTACTTCTATACACTTATATAATGGTTCGCCCTTTAAATCAAGAAATTCTTCCATAATTCGTCCCATATCAACTTCACAACGAGAGACAATAATTCGATTAATTGTTCCATAATCTTTTTCTGCATATTCCGTAGCTTTGACTAATTTTTCAGCAAAATATCTTGGTCTATTTTGTATACAACGGACTGAAATGAATTTTAATTAATGAAATATACATAAGTAAATGTAAGAAATGCAAAAAAGAGTTCATTATACAGAACAATTACTTGCTCACTTAATTATACTTAATATGAGACCAAACAATCCAATTCGTTGGTAGTTTTCAACAAGGAATGGAGTAAGTGATAAATGATCAAAAATACATTAGCCTAGTGCTATTGTGGTGTGTGCTACTGATGTCAACAAATATAGTAGTATGTATCATCAATCGAAGTGAAGTATCTGGCAACAGAAAGTTGAGAAGATTGAAGGAAAATGAACGAGAACAGTGAATGATCGCTGTGGAAATGAAGGCACAGTGAAGTCTGAGATGATTGATTGACATTGTGCAAATGAAGTAATTACTGTATGGTACTCAGATTTTACTAACTTGTCCTGTAATTTTGTGTTCAAATACATCTAATTGTCCCTACTTAGCCAGAACTATCTTACGTCAAAAACATGATATCTACAATGTTATTTCACTTAGACTAATGATCAGATTAAATCTCGTTGATTAGTAGAAATTGATCAATACTAAACACTAGACAAATACGTCATACCTTATTACATGTTAACTAGTAATTGTAGAGATTAAAGATATTCAATTTCAAGTAGAATTTCTCTTCATATGAAGATCTTAACATCTGAGGGGAAACATGGAATACAATGGACAGCTCAGGATCAATTAGAAGATCTGGACTTTGCAGATGAACTGACACTTCTATCCCAAACACACAAACAAATGCAGATGAGAGCAACTAGTGTGACAGAAGCTTCTGCAGCAGTACGCTTCAAAATGCACAGGAGAAAGAGCATACTAATTATTCAACTCACAATTCCTTTGAATACATAATAGTGATGACTACTTACCAATAGACAGTATACAATCGATTGCATGTCCACGCATTTCCTCTTCCAAATCACGTTCACTATGTAACGAATATTCATTGAATACAGCTCGTAAGTGACCATAGGATCGTGTAATCAAGATAGGCATGAATCTAATAAGTGAAGATATTAAAAAAGTTATTTCACCAGTTCATTAAAAAGAACAACGTGTTGTATGTTGCTTCAAATTGATTAGAGGATCACATTCATTAATTTAATCAATGATGTATCTAGAGTTCTAGTTAGATTTCGGGACTGATGGATACATAGGAGATATATATATATTGGGAATTTTAATTCGCAGTAAAATTTCATACTTTGTACTCGTGAATTAGTCGACGATCTTTACAAAAGTAAGGCATTTATGGTGAAATAATTGAGACCTAAACGTAGCCCAGAAGCAAACAAGTGAGTGAAAGTGGAATCCTCACACAAACACAAGTATTTATAATAAGTCACAACAGTTCTGTTTATAAAATGGAATTCTCTTTCAATGCGAAATTCACAAACTAAGTAAGAGCTATGTAGGATCAATAAATCATACTAGTATATCTGCAAAGAAAAACTAATGTGTTGGAGGAGAATAAACAGATATTTTTGTTCAGTTATTTAGAGCTTGAATGACCGAACTGTAAGACGAGAAAGTAGTTGCATTGATCTGGTCCATGTATTGATTAGTTCATTTAGATTGACGTCTAGTACCAATTACATCAGGTTAACGGATGATACGCTAAATGTGAGATAACAACTGAATGACTATTTGTCTGGAATGCAGTTTCCACGTTTACTCCCCCGATAGCCACAAAGAAAAAACAACTCAGCAGACAGATGACCTCCAACTAAACAGTTCGAATTTTTTCGATCACTCATACAGTAATATAGAGCAAAATCGTGACAACACATCAACAGAATTAGGAATTTACAATATGAGCACAACCGCACCATAAATGGGAAGGAACTGAGTATTAGGTTTGTAATGAATTAACAATAACTTTGGGAAATGTAAAAGACAAAACAATGATTTGTGCGTCAAACAAAATTGGAGGAGTGTAAGAATGTAACAGTTTAAGTATTTAATAAGAGTACAGCGAAAACATCAATAATAACTTCAGATTGGATCGTTCCGAAAGTTCACTTTTGTTTAATATTTATCCCTACATAGTAAAAACAGTACACTTACTTTGATTCATCAATTTTAATGTCTTGTTTCATTGCTCTAAGTAGTTCTTCCACATCTCTTCGTACAAGATTTCCATCTATAAATGTGAATTCATCTCTACTCGCTTTCAGTAAAGCTAAATATATTGATTTAAACGGATGTTCAGTATCATCGTTCACATCATCTTCTAAATCACGTCCATAGAATACTAAAATTTAACGAAAAAACGTGGTTATTATTTAAAAAGCGAAAAAATTGTTTATCGTTTACATGACTGACTGACATCAGCTAAATCAGCATTGAAAGCCTATTTTTACTTACTTACTTACATATACCAGCATTCTCCAACCCACTATGTACTGGGCCTTCCTTCCTAGTTCTATCCACTTCTTGTTCATTCTTACCATGTCTGTTTCGTTTCTTGGAGTATTCTGTTCTTCGCTCTTCCTCTTCTCCTTTGGCCTTGAGGACCCCATATGAGGGCTTGCGTGGGACACAGTTGGGTGCTTTCCTCAATGTGTGTTCTATCCACTTCAAGTGCTTCATTCTGATTTCTTCTTCACCGGGATCTGGTTTGTTATCTCACACAGTAGATTGAAGCCTATATTTAGCGTACAGCTTTTTTCACCAAAATGTGAGACCTTTCTTCAGTACGCATTCATAATCATATCACTTATCAGACTCATGGTATTCAGGCATCGTGGCAAGTTCTTCAACTTTATACCACATAGGTGATACCCCATGATTTACATTTCTATTATCTCTTTATGATTAGATAATCATTGAATATCTTAACGCAGCAACCTACAAGAGCAATGCATACATTTACGTTAGAGCTAAAGGTATGTCATTCTAGATGGCCTTGGGTTCAAGGCAATACTGGAACCCTACTAAACCTAGTAACAGTATAGGTAATGATCCAATTAGAAACGCGACATGTGACGTTTCACTTTTCAAATGTTTCTGGAAAAACTTTTATTAAATGTTGATTAGATAAGAGGTTTTCTCAACGTTTTCAGAGCCTGTTTTGGCTTTCTCTGAAGGATTTTCTGGATCTCTCAACATAGTCAACAATAAACTAGTTAAACAAATCATATACAATTCATAATTAAGGTAGAACAGTGTAATGATAGTTGAAACATTTAAATTTTATCTACTGAATCATAGATTTCAATCCTGCTTTAATTCATTCAACTTCAGTAGACTTGTAATATCATAAATCTTTAAACAGGATTATGATCAGATTTTGCTCAATTTTTGGACGAAATAGATGAAATTGATTTCGAAATACAAAGCAAGTAGTATTCACAAACTTTCAAAAATTCACAATGTAAATTATGAGGATCTTAGAGCTACATAATTTCTGATAATCCAAGAAGTACTGTGGTGTGTGCTACTGATGTCGACAGATATGAGTAGTATGTACCATCAATCGAAAGTGAAATACATGACAACAGAAAGTTAAGAAGATTGAAGAAAATTGAGCAAGATAGGAGAATGATTCCTTTGGAAATGAAGGCACAGTGAAGTCTGAGATGATTGACATTTTGCAAATGAAGTATTTATTGTATGGTTCTGAGACTTTACTAAGTTGTTCTGTAATTTTGTGTTCCAATACATCCGATTGTCCCCAGTTGTATCCTTATCTACTACAGTACAAATGAATAGACGCCCATAAAAATTAACATGTATCTATCAGTTTGTTCAATGGCATATACAATTAGTATCTAATGAATAGATTTGAATTGGTAATATTGACCAATAAAGAGAACGAATATACATTCAAGTGTCAAACAGTGATATATCGTGAATACATATCTTACATCTTTAAATCTATATGACACTAATTGGTAAATAAATTGAAATATTCAATGTGATGTGATTAGAATGAGTTATGTATGGAGAAGTAAGCTGTTCCGATCTATCGTACCACAATAAATTCCTTCTAAAGCATAAATTTAAACATCTTAGAACTTTAAGAAATTCATTTCAAAGAGGTTTTCTCAATAAACACAAGATGGTTACTTAATTGTATTTGTGTGAAGATCTACATAGTTTGGAAATGATTACTCATTATTTTAAAATAAACAATGTTGACAATAGAAATTATGTTAAACTATGCTGATAAATTGTAATTTCAAGAGTTGAGATGATCAGTCATTTGAAGCTAGAACACCATGGAAAACCTGGAAGCACTGAATGACCGTTTTGTCCTAATATGGGACCCTCGGCAGTGCGAATCCACGATCCCGCTTCGCGAGTGCTTAACGTCTAGACCACTGAGCCGGCCGGCATCCAATGTTGTTAATGTCTAACTTCAACTAATCCACGAAATTGAGCGACACATCCACCATTGTCTTCAGTCAGTTACTATCTCACAACAAACCCGGTTGAACTCCACTTGTCACTGCTTATCACTAGAACTCCAGGAAACACCTCTTGAAGCCAATCACTAGTAAGCATGTGTTGATTAATATCAGAAGGGATTTTTGTGGATATTATAGTAATTTCAATAGTTGAGATCATGAGTCAATTGATGCTACGTTGATAGGTTCTGGGTTCGAATTCTGCGAGGCGGGATCGTGGATGCGCACTGCCGAGGGTCCCACATTAGTACAAAACGGTCATCCAGTGCTTCTAGGTTTTCCATGGTGGTCCACCTTCAGTTGACTCATGATCTCAACTATTAAAATTACTATAATATCTACAACACCCCATTCTGATAATGGGTAGACAAATTGAATTTTCAAACTTTGTAACATTTAATTTCTCTGAGAAACAACTTGTTTATCCATGAATATTAAGAATTTTAATATCAACTTTAGAAACAGTTAGTATGTCCAGATTATAGTATTTTCAAGGGATTGTAATTTTGATTGTTCATAATGAGATTTATAATTGATCAATCTATTGAATCTGTCTGAATGAATCTTTCAAATAGTCATTCATTCATTCTTTCTTTCTTTCTTATCAAATATGAATTGTGACTACAGTGTAGTTCACGCGGTTCACTTCTTCCTACATCAGACTCATTAGATGAACATTCCTGAATTCCACTGTTTGTTTTCACATTGAAACAAGTTTTGAACTATAATCACAGTGTGAACATGAAAAATGAGATATATGTATATCTACTTGACATGTTCGAAATAAAATGAAATTTACATCTTCTATTCCAATTGCGTACATGATTATTACTTTCCAAGTGAACTCATGGAGTTGCGTAAGGAATAAGTTTGCTTCACAATAGTAGCAGTTAGTAATTTAATGTTGATGTCACGGTATTTCTCCTTAGCAAAATGAAATATATTGAAATGGCTACCATAGACCCATATGGTTAGATGGATAACATTAAAGGTACATTATAGAAGTGAAATATTTTCATCTGATTATAATCTTAAATTTAGATAAAGATTATTGTTTATTCAATTAATGTAACCCTGAAATATAAAATATAAACAGAGCTTTTATTTAGAACTGTGGACAATTGGATTCTAACCCATTAGCTTAAAGTTGATGGCTATGGCTAATGGACCTAGAATCCATGGTTTCTTGAAGGTTTGTTTATGCAAACTACCAATGTATTGTAAAATAGTAAAAACTAGATTTATGTTATTCCTTGTATTCTCAATGATTCTTCAGTTTAACCAAATTTATGATGACCAATCTTCACTATAAATAATTCATGATTTTATTAACTAACAACTTACATTTTGGATAAACATTCTTAATTCTTCTGATTTGTTCATTTGTTCTTGTACAAAGAATTTCAATTATTGTATCTTCATCAGTATCAGTTCCTCTCATTGCTCTATGAAGTTCTATTGCATCAAATTCTGCTGGTGTATAGCACAACGCAATCAGACAATCTTTAGAACATCCAATTAATTTACAAATAAATTTGGTAGGTAAATTCTTTCCGTACATTGATCTATATTTTTGTAGAATAGCTATACGTTGAACAACAGGTCGACAACCCATTGCTTCTATAACTCTCCAATTAGTTACCGAAAATTTCCATATATGACTCCCCCAATGTTCGCAATGATGTTCAACAGTGAAACCTGGTTCAACAGTAAGAGTCGGTTTCATCTAAGATCAAGGTGAATGGATATTGACAAATAAGTAGAATGTCAGTCAGCTACAACGTACAATTGTTAAAATCAAGTAATCTGAAATAGTCTTGATATATGTCAAATTATTACCCTTTACTTAAAATAATAGTCAACGTATTTAGATGAAGTGATTCCACAATAATGTAAACTCACTGTAAAACAGAAGCATGATAGTACAGTGACGTATTTTGGAAAGTAACTTGTGCATGCTAAATGACTTTAAAATGCTTGAGGTTTTTAAATGACCCTTATATTTAAGAACCATTCTTCTAACTGAAAATTCATTCAATTCACTTTCCTTGTTCAAAATAATAATAATAATAATTTAATGGTTGAATTCATGAGTTGATTTAATTTAGAGCACCCTGGAAAATTGAAAACACTGGAGGGCCGTTTCATCCCAGTATGGGACATTTAGCAGGACGAAAAGACCATGTAGTGCTTCCAAGTTTTCGTAAGATGGAGAAATGGAAATTGTGGTAAAATGTAAGAAAAGTGATCAGTGATCTATTTGACATAAATGAAGGTATTATTATAATGTAAATAAATAAAGCACTAACTGTAGGGAGTTAAATGAAGCATTCCAGTTTCAGAAATGAAAAATGATTTCCTCGATAAAAACCTCAAGTAACCTATCAATATAAGTAAACATATACATACATTTTAACATTTGATATCACTTGACTGATATCACCCATAATCCGAACACCCATTACAAACACTGTTCAGTGGATTAATATTCATCAGATCAATACCTCTGTAAGTTCCTATCACTGTTAACCGTTAATTAAGAATTATTTAGCAGCATGGTATGTTTGTACAGATATGCCTACTTGGAAGGATTCATTAAAATCGGAATGGGGATTTGTGGAGAATGCAGCAATTTAGGCAGTTGAATTCATATGTTGATCTAAGCTAAACCAGCATTGCGATTTTGTAAGTACTGATAGGCCGTTTCATCTCAGTATGGGACACCTCAATAGTGCGCACCCACAATCCCGCGCACTGCACTAGAACATAGGACCTTCAGTCTCGCGTGCGAACGCTTCACCTCTAGATCACTGAGCCGACAGCCAACGGTGGTATCGTCTAACATCAGTCGATCCATGATCTTGTGCAGTTCTTCATCCGTTGTCTGAGGTAACTAACTGTCTCCATACTACGACGAAACGATCGTCCTGTGTTTCCAGGTTTTGAATAGCTGTCTAGCTTAGATCGTCTCATGAATTCAACTATTAAGATTTATTAAAGTTCACAATTACACTGAAATAACTATCGAAATCTACTGAGTCTCTCTAAATAATTATTTATTTAGAGATGAGATATTGTGAGTTCTTGTAGGATTTCACTTTGTCTTGTTCTGAAAAGCCTCACATAGTGAAATTTATATTTTCATCATTTCTTCACCACCGTATAGAATAAATAATTGACCGACTGAAAATAAGTTCCCATGAATCAGAATCTATGGAAATGTGGAGTTTGGAATTGATGTAAAAGAACACAACGGCCATTGGAAATACCAAAGTTAATAAGTCATAAACACAATAGGAAACAAAGTATTTCTAGACTGGATGGATATTCAGTATAGTGAATTTCAATTGCTAATCAAAGATGCATGGATAAATAATGAACAGAATAATCAACGAAAATGACTGGAAAAGTCATCAGACGAAATCATTTATGAATGTAACAACTTACTATATCTTCGTAAGGAACTGACTCACCAAAACCAAATACTCTGGAAGTTCCAAAAAAGTCATTAAACTGACATGATGCAAGCAGAGGAACATTTGGAAAAACACTAGGTACACTCAAAGGTGTGTCTGATTGTCCGGAAAATTCACACAACGTGGTTTCAATTTTTCCATCCATATTATATTCAGCTTTATTTGAATTTATTGAGCTTCCTATCGATAAACAAGCATGTTCTATTGGAGGTTTACCTAGATAATTTGTATTAGATTGTTGAGTCTCATTTGAGCTATCCACCACAGAGAGATAAGAGAAATCTAAATCCATCAGTTAATCTGATATACTTAGAGTGAGTGTGTTATGCACAAAAACTGTTAATAGATTGATTTTTGTTTCGTCTAGGTCACTAACGTGATGAGTCAATTGGCTGAAATGAAAATGTAACAGTAAGAGGATTGGTCAAGTTAGTCGAAAGAAACAAACAACTGGCCTTCACAATGTCGACAGATTTTCATGGCATAAACAAAACACATTTTTCATCTGTTCCAGGTTATTTTGAAATTATCAGCCAGTATTATGATTATAGAAACATTTTTTAGAGGCTTTTAAGAAGTTCAAAAGTTTATTAATTAATTGAATATCTCTTTTCTCCGATGTCTCATCTTCAACACATGAATCAGTGTTCATCAATTCAAAGTTTTATTATTATTATTATTATTATTATTATTATTATTGTGAGTATACACTAGAATTCCTGGAGTTACATCTTAAATCTGATCACTAGTGAACACATGTTTATTATTAGCATAGAGGTCCTGAGTTTGATTGTCACGTGAAGTGTCGTGGATATCCACTGCTGAGGATTCCTATACTGACACGAAATGTTCGTCCAGTACTTTCAGGTTTCCAATGATGATCTAGCTAAGATCAGTCCGTCACATAAAATATGAAAATGCTACAACGTCGACAAATGCCCTATACTGAACATTCTTGTACCTCTTTTTACAAATTCTAATAAGACAACTTATTGCCGTATTGAGTTCTGAATTTCCCACCTTTGGTCACGTTAACGGTAGGAGTTTTAGCTACACCATTTTTGTAAGCAATCATCGATGCTATGTCTCACAGGTTATCCGTTTTTGCTGATTTTGTGATAATGCTCCAGTTGTTGATGTTTCGATTTCCGATGATTGTGCTGTTTGTGAAATGTTTTTTTCATTCTGCTGTAGTTGTTTTATGAAAGAGGCTGGCCAACTTAAGGTTTTCCTCCAGAGTACACATATATCAATATCAGTTTCCAATGTCCTTACAATTATATCGAAAGAAACAACTAACCTAGTTTTTAAAAGTTGATTTTTACAAAGAAGTAAGTAATAAGAAGCCTTAATGATGTCAATAGTTTTTCGGGATTGCTATGTCGTTCGGACGCCAATCGATTTGAGTTATTGTTCACCAAACCATGATTTTCTCCCTATTTCGAAACCTTAATTCAAACCCTTATTATCCTGACCATTGTTGGCACATTTATCATCACAACATCAATCTTCACTTCTTCCTATTTATTACTTAGCTATTTAATTTATTTCACTATCATTATCTCACAAACTATCTTCTAATAAATATGCATATAAATATTACTGTATATTTAAACAATGACTTATAAAGATCTGACTGAGACAAATCATGTTTGCTTATATGTTGAATTGTTCTACATTACAAGATAGGAATTTCCAATATTTCAAAGTATTTATATCTTAGACACTCTTATTAACTGAAAAGTTATTTCAAGGAGATAACTAAAGGAAATGACGACATATCAAGTTTCCTAGTGAATCTGATTTAATAAATCCGAACAGTCAGGAAGTTCCAGATAAAGTCATTTGACTGACAAGAAGTAGGATTATAAAAATAGAATGTTGAGTTCTTGGTTTGTGTCTACTGGATTGATATGAAAAATCATTTATCTGATGAAATAAGTGGAAAATACTCTGTTAGAGGATATTGCAAACAAGAATCCTCGGCAATGTAGGGACTCTGCATTCGAATTTCAGAATCTATTTGTAAAGTAGTTGTACCTGTCGTATAAGTGCAGTATTCCCATAAGAAGGATTTATATAACCTAGTTAAGTTGAAAATGAAGCAGTCGGATTAGTTAAACGGTCACCAGAAGAACCATCAGTCTCACAGCAAGGTGTATTATTATAATCTCCATCTGATTATCGAAGAAATGTATACTACTTGTCCTCCTGAATATATTTTTGTGATTTGATTTGTAGAATTTCCCGGTGATGATTCAGGAGGTTGTGCAAATAATATTCCTCGATAACCCTCATCAGTTATCCCTGGAAATACCCCACAAGATATACAATTATAATTTGCATTTGATTGTTGTTGTTCGTTTAAGTTCCAGAATGAACAATCAGAAAACCTCTGATTGATCTGTCAAGTAGATACAATGAAGTTGAGAATGATTAGCATGAAACCGGCAATTAAAATCGTTTTTTCGATAAGATCACTTTTGTGACTAGCTAATTGGTTAAAATGAAGTAAATAGCTTCATAAGGATTGGTTAAATTAACTAATTAAAATGTGAGATGATCTTCACAACTTTCATGATCAAAATATTTCATATATAATTTTCACATATAATCATTTTAACCAAGTTTTCTTGTTATAGCCACTCAATTATTACGTTTTGTACAAAATTCCCTAAGAACCGTTCGTACGTTAGCATTAAGCACTGAAGTTGGCGCCGTATCCTTGAAATCTCTAAAACCCTTCTGATTGGCTCGTCCATAACTTAGAGTCTCTCCCAATAAATTAGTTACGATAAGTGTTGATAATTTATATTGTAGATATGGAAAGTGTTATCACTTGTGGCCTGAGTGCCCTGCTAATGTATAACGTAATGATACCGCTAATTAGAGAGCAGTGAATTATCGGTCAGACCAATGACGTCTAAAACCCGTGCGAGCAGTCTTGAGTACTTATCGGTCCTGCTTCCTGTCTACCCCAGCCAGTTAAGTCCAGAACACCAATCTCATCCTCAACAATATAAATCATGTATTTCAAACATGCGGGGTTTATATACCAATCAAACAGACCACATCGTACCAGATAGTCAACGAATTGTATATACAACGAAGCTTGTTAGTTTGTAATTACTGAAGATCTACGTATGTTGGATATATGAGACATTTTGCACAGTTGAAGTTACGAGTCGATCTAAGCTAGACTACCATTGATGACCTGGAAGCATTGGAATGCCGTCTCGTTCTAATATGAAACTACTGAGCAGTGTGCACTCACAATCCCACACAAGGGACTGAAACTCAGACTTTCGAACTTGTTAGCATACGCATAACCTCCAAACCACTGAGTCTGCACTCAACGGTGTTGATGTCTATCTTCAATCCCTATATTAATATGAGAATCTGTCAGAACTGTTTGGTAATCATTTTTATTTGAATGAAACACTACTTAGTTGTAGTAAGTAGCATGAATATCAACCTAAAAATAATCAGATGGGCGTCAGTTGTTACATCTTTAAACATAAATATACATTATTATATTAGACCGTTAGTTATAAATTAAGGGATGATGTGAATAGGGATAATTAATAAGTAGAATAGTGGTGGGTTAATTTGGAAATTACTTATTGAATTTTAAAGATGGTAGTATTCATGTACATCCAGCTGACGAGTGCCAAATAGGACGAAAAGCGCGTTCTGGATTCCACTGCTAGCCACTACCCATCTTTGTTTATAATGCTTGTGATTTAAGGCAATAGCGAGACAATCCACACAAGATGTACACATTCCAACAAGAGACTGGTCAATTGCAGTCCTAAATAACAATGAGAAGACACAAGCAAACAACACCAAGTGAATTAAAATTGTTTAGAAAATCAGAATAGTAATGATATTAGACAATATTTGTAGTAATGCCTTGGGTCGGAATTCAGATGACACAAATATTTCATTTGACTATTTAGTTCGAACTTCTTCAGTATTAAGTTAAACTGAACAAGAAATTAATAAATACATTCTTTGACTAACTATGCATCAGTTCACAATTTCACGCATGAAAATTTGAAAATCATGTTTGTTATTCTGGATGGTTTTTGAAAAATGTACTAAATGGTAGTTTGAACTTTTTATTGTACTATTAATGATCTGGGTTAATGAATAAAATATAAATCAAATATGTACTTGTTAATTTATCTGATCTATTCCATTGTAACTAGGATAATTATCAGGGAGTTTGGATAAGAGAGATCATGAAGGAATTATAAGTAATTGTAAATCGAAACCCTGTTAATTTATCAATATATTGATGGATTCAGCTAAGAAGCTGATACTTACAAACTTGATTTGATGACTATACAGTCGTCTTATGTTCAAACAATATCCAAGTTTACTTTATTCATATTCATAGTTCTATTATCTATCGATTTCCGTATAGATTATGGGACATATTATAAACCATGTTATAACAATTTTTTTATTTACTACTGAATAAATTCACTGCCAAAATTGTACAAATTACTGAATGGGTAGTTGTTTTTACTGAAACAGAAATATACATACCTATACTTTCAGTATAACTCCGCCTGGAGCCCCTCTGGGGCTACTGCCAGTCTTAAACCCGGATAAAGGAGGAGGGTGGAGCAAGGAGTGAGAAACCCCATTCCGTAGAAAAGTAACTCGCTAAAAAATGCTAACCGGAAAAAGTAATTCTAGCCATTTAAAATACTCCCTGGGAGATAGAAGGCCTTCATTTAGAAGAGTATGACGCCTCATAGTGAAAGCGACTTGAGGTAGATCGAAGTAAAAAGATTCACTTTTTTTCTACCGAAGGTAAACATGTAGTTAATTTTACTTGGTTGTTAAAAATCAGATGACATTTTGATTATTTGAAGAAAGTAGTTTTTTATGGTTAAATGACATCAAATAGAAAATCTCTATTCACTTCCACTTAAAGACCCCTCATCAACGTGAACTTAAAACCTTAAATATGATCAAATGTATATCTCCAAATGTTGGTATACAGTTGGTAAATTCTATGGATTTATGATATAACTCAACTATTAGTTAATGCTATACTGTGCTGTGAGCTACTTATATCCACATAAGTAGTAATATAACAGTGGGTAGTAATAGAATGTATTTCAGTAGAAGATCGAGAAGGAGAGAAAGGGAACCAAAAGCAATTGATATGAAATGCAGAAACAATGAAATCTAAGACGATGTAGTGATATTTGCAAAAGAATAGTCAAGTTTGAGACAATTGAGTATTTACTGTATGGGTCTCAGATTTTCGTACGATGTTCCACAATTTTACGTTGAAATATATTCGACTGCCCCCACCTCTCTCGTGTTCTTGTTCACTGCAATACAAATCTGGTTTCTATGATACTGACATATACAACTAGAACAAAATGTTCTCATGT